TGGCGCGTGCCCCCCAGCCTGCGGCACGAGGGCAGGGCTGCCCCCCAGGACCTACCTGGCTCTTGGTGTAGTCCGCATCGCCCCAGAAAATGGCGCCAGCCGCTCCCAGGGCAGCGCTCTCGCCGATGGTGGAAACCAGGTCTGCCTGCCAGGGAGGGACGAGACAGGCGAGGGTTGGGGGGGACACGAGTGCTGTGAGCTCCCACGCCCACCCGATTGCTCCCACACATCCTTGGGGGGTGGGACAGTTGGGCCATGGCTCACACAGGAGGCATCCAAGGGTGCTCGGCTTGGCCCACGCTCTGGTAGCGGAGGGGAGACTAGACAAGGCAACTTCTGGGCCTGGCCGGGACAGGAGTCTCCCGGTGATGCTAGTGTCCGGCGGCGGACTCTTTTGGCAAGGCTACCATGCCACCTGCAGCCATTCCAGATCCCAGGGCACTTTTCCTGCTAGCCACCCGCTCCCCACAACTGTTGCCCACAATCCCACCAGTGTGCATCCCCCAACTGCCCCCCCCCCACCACTGGGGCCTGCAGCATTCTCCAGGACATGCCCCAGACTGTTGCTGGGAGCGGTTAGAACAGCTGCTGTGCTCCACTCCAGAGATGGCTGCCTTTGTGGTCCAGGAGAGCAATCCCCACCCCCACCCCCTCCCCAGGCTATGTTACCCAAGACAGGCCAGGGCAGCACCCAGCCTGAGAGCAGGCACCTGGGACAGGATGGAGGAGGAACAGCACCCTCCCACCTCCCTGGGCTGGGCCCAGCCCCGGCTGCGGATGCAATAGGTGGCCTGACGGGACAAGCCCGGCACACCAGGCCAGGGAGCGGCCTGGAGCGGCTGGGGTGGGAGGCAGGGCAGGGTGCAGCCGGCTCCTGCCTGCCAAGGGGTGGGCGGCTGCAGGATGCCAGGGGGTGGCCGGCTGCAGGATTAGCGGGTCTAGCAAGTGGGACTGGCTGAGGGAGGGAGGGCCAGGCTCTGATCAGCCCCTCCCCCACTATGGCCTGGCTCTGGTTCCTGGCTGCTGCAGCCGAAACCTTTTGGCCTTTTCCGCCCGCCCACCATCCCATGATTTCAAATAGGCCCTTCTCTAGGCTCCCCCGTGGGTGCCCATCTCTGTGCAGAGCCCAGAGGTGCAACATCCTCCCTGCCCCAGGCCTTCGTACAGCCCAGCACTGTTAGCCTGGTGCACACCTCGGCCCCACTGGCACCCGGGAGCCGGTCTGACCCACGTGAACCCCCCCGACCCCCTCCAGCTTCCCAGCCCCTCACCGCGC